TCACACACTGACCAGCACAGTGTCATGACACTAGACCCACACTCTGACCAGCACAGTGTCATGACACTTCTTGCACTCACTTATATTTACATGATCGTAATAATTTCTTCGTAAGGTACAACAAAACATAACGATACTCGTAACAGTGTTGTAAACACCATCGTCGTAATAAAACTACAAGTACTAAAATGTCTCTCACATATTATTATAATCAAAAAGAAGCGCTAAACCAGAAGGGCCATACATCGCTGCAGGGCAGGGAAGGAAGCGGGGGTATCAGGTGGCAAAAGGGAGAGGGATAATTAGTAGGTTACAGAGATCAGCGGGGCAGTGGATAGTGCAAGAGGGAAGCAGGAGATTGAGGTAGAAAGGGTTGAGGTCAGTGCTAAAGGTATCATCATCAGAGTTTGTGGAGTAAATCAATTGTTGTCAAAAAGTCAACGAGAGAGTCGGGATTAAAGGAGGGTCCATCAGCAAGAATGGAAGGTAAAGAGAGAGTATTAGAGCGAAGACGACGTTGGAGGTAGATTCTGCATGCTCGGTATCTCGCATAACATTTTAATCGACAAGTAATTTTCAAGTCACTGAACTCTGGTATACTCTTTGTCTCTCCAGATTTCATTCTGAAATTAAAATCTCATAGTATCGTTTAACATTTAAAATCTCACTGTTCATTTGTTGCACATGTGTCTTATTCATCAAGTCATGTTCTCATATATGACTGATTTTGCTGCCGAAGCGGCTAGTTTAGTGTGGACTCCACATCCATCGTGTGGACGGTAGGGCGCCCAAGAGCACATGAATACACAAAAGACCTATGGACTAGACCTCAATAGGATTTGCAGGAGTACGTCTGGATTTATATCTACAGTTCACTTATTTGTTTGTTTCAATTACATTTAGTTAATTTGTTTAATATATCTGGTATCTAATTTTCACTAATAAGATACCATGACATATCACTTTTGTTATTATACTGCCTATCTCTATATTCCTCAATAAGTGGACAATAAAGGGCATGTTCTTATAGTGACCATCAAAGTGTAATAAACTCTTGACATTGAGAAGTCAGTACCCACATGGAAGTCAGTACCCACATGGAAGTCAGTACCCACATGGAAGTCAGTACCCACATGGAAGTCAGTACCCACATGGAAGTCAGTACCCACATGGAGACAAACAACGTAGGTGAGGTTAGGTAAGGCTTGCCAGGTAACAGAACAAGTGTTTCCTGACGCTGGTCTTAGATAATGACTCGCCATTGGAGCTTTTGGTCATCTGGCTGAGGCCTTCCGCTGGCTTTCCGGTCCACCTCTTTAAAAATTATGGTCATAGTTATAACGATTTAGTTACAGTATATGTTGAAACAAGGTAAATGCGTTCTTATACTCTGTCCTTCAACTGAGGTGCTGTTTACCAAGTCTGTTGAAGAGGACCTCTGGGGGGGGGGCCTAAATGTTCAGAGAACCCTCTTGTTTCTGTCTCTCGAATTCTCACAACCTTGCAGCGAGGCACACTGTAAGAGATTAGATACGAGGCAGACAATGAACTACGTCTCACAAACTTGATTATCTAACGTTTATCTTCCAACCAATTATGTGTGGCCTTGGTGAACGAGAAACATGGAACCGAGTTGCTGGGGGTTGAGGGGGTAGGAGTGAGTTGTTTGTGTGTGGGAGTGAGTTGTTGGGGTGTGGGAGTGAGTTGTTGGGGTGTGGGAGTGAGTTGTTGAGGTGTGGGAGTGCGTTGTTGGGGTGTGGGAGTGAGTTGTTGAGGGTGTGGGAGAGTGAGTTGTTTGTGTGTGGGAGTGAGTTGTTGGGGTGTGGGAGTGAGTTGTTGGGGTGTGGGAGTGAGTTGTTGAGGGTGTGGAGTGAGTTGTTGGGGTGTGGGAGTGAGTTGTGAGGTGTGGGAGTGAGTTGTTGGGGTGTGGGAGTGAGTTATGGGTGTGTGGAGTGAGCTGTTCGGTCATGGGAGTGTGTTGTTAGGGTGTTGCAGGGAGATGCTGGGATGTGGAAGCGAGTTGTTGGGGTGTGGAAGCGAGTTGTTGGGGTGTGGGGGTGAGTTGTTGGGGTGTGGGGGTGAGTTGTTGGGGTGTGGGGGTGAGTTATTGAGGTATGGGATTGAGCTGTATGGCTGTGGGGGTGATCTGTATGGCTGTGGAATTGAGTTGTATGGCTGTGGGAGTCAATCGTAACTCACAAATCTTACAATTTATGTGTTACAATTATATAATTTATCTTTCATAGCTTGGCCAGAGAACCACATAGCTCCAAATTGTACGAATAATTATTTTAAAATGTAATCTAAGACCAGTCTTGATAAACTGATACCTTATACAAAATAATTAATTAATATAAGCGAGTTATACTCTCAAGGTAATTTTTATTGCATAAGGTGTGCATATGTCACATTGGAAATTATTTTCCGGAAGCCTTTACGAGATGAAAAAAAATCAGTTTCGGAAAACAGGAAAAACAACACTGCCTCGTACTTCTGGTTTGAGGCTGCTCAGAGCATCATGTAGTGAACTTTTACATCACTTAATTTGGGAAGGTTTCAGAACACTAGGATTTAACTGCAAAATGGTTCTGAAACTGGCAAACAGAAAGCTATACTGACATGTAACAATACCACCATTCAGCACGATATATAAGTTATTTATCAGTGGTATACAGTACCCGACAAGATGATGAGTTAGACACATGTGCAACGTCTGGGTTTCGTTACTTTGTAGACGTTTCGTGATACAGTGGCTATATCGATATATGGACATAATCTGGAGACTGTAGAAATATATACAGCTGACAGTGGAAGACGAGGTAATCTGTCCCTCAGTCTAGGAGCAAGTGATGAGCACCGTAATCTTAAAGAATGTGAAGAAAAGGCAGGAAGACGGGCGCTTATATACTGGAGACAGATGCGGTAGACGAAGGTGTTTGTCACTGGTAGGCGGGACTCCCCAGTGGAGGTAGGTCATGCCCAGGAGTTGATCCAATAGGAAATTAGGTTGTGGAGTTGTCCTCTGTACAAAGATTCCATGATGACTCCAGTATTGTAGATCAATGGTTCAGAGAACCGACAGGTTGATAAATTAGACACATGTGCAACTCTTGGGTATCTTTATTGAGGAAACGTTTCGCCACACAGTGGCTTCATCAGTCCATACATGGGAGAAACTTGAAGAACAGGAGGAGAATGAGGTAATCAGTCCCTCAACCTTGAGTCGATGTGGTCAGTCCATCAATCTTGAAAAGAATACGGCATATGGGCGGAGAAGCAGCTTATAAACCGTAGGCAGGAGAGGTGCAGCAGATGTAGGTGGTGTCACATTTGTTCAATGTGGAAGTAGGTCGTGCCCAAGGGTTAGGCAAGCGAAGAATTCCTCTCCTGCCTACGGTTTATAAGCTGCTTCTCCGCCCATATGCCGTATTCTATTCAAGACTGATGGACTGACCACATCGACTCAAGGTTGAGGGACTGATTACCTCATTCTCCTCCTGTTCTTCAAGTTTCTCCCATGTATGGACTGATGAAGCCACTGTGTGGCGAAACGTTTCCTCAATAAAGATACCCAAGAGTTGCACATGTGTCTAATTTATCAACGACTCCAGTATATAAGCACCAATCAGCTTCAGATTCTTCAAGACTACGGCGCTCACCATCTGCTCCTAGGCTGAGGGACTGATTACCTCTTCTGTATATATTTCTAGTCTTCAGATTATGTCCATGCATTGTATTGATAAAGCCACTGAATGGCGAAGCGTCTACAAAGTCGATACCCAGATGTTGCACACGTTTCTAATTCATCAAGATACACGAGAGCTGAAAGTGTGAAGTAGATCTGAAGAGGCATTCTCGATACTGCACGGAAAAGTTCAATGGCAGTAGAGACGGGAATCAAACAGACTTTGTGGACCATTATGAGATGCAATTATTATTATTATAATCAAAAAGAAGCGCTAAGCCACAAGGGCTATACAGCTATGAGATGCAAGAGATGGGACAAGTATCTCTCATGAGATGAGACAAGCACCTGTCATGAGATGGGACAAGTACTTGTTATGAGATGGTACAAGTATATACTTGTCATGAGATGGGACAAGTACATACCTGTCATGAGATGGGACAAGTACATACCTGCCATGAGATGGGACAAGTACATACCTGCCATGAGATGGGACAAGTACATACCTGCCATGAGATGGGACAAGTATATACTTGCCATGAGATGGGACAAGTACGCACCTGTCATGAGATGGAACAAGCACGTACCTCTCATGAGATGGGACAAGTACCTGTCATGAGATGGGACAAGTACCTGTCATGAGATGGGACAAGTACCTGTCATGAGATGGGACAAGTACCTGTCATGAGATGGGACAAGTACCTGTCATGAGATGGGACAAGTACATACCTGTCATGAGATGGGACAAGTACATACCTGTCATGAGATGGGACAAGTACATACCTGTCATGAGATGGGACAAGTACATACCTGCCATGAGATGGGACAAGTACATATCTGCCATGAGATGGGACAAGTACATACCTGCCATGAGATGGGACAAGTATATACTTGCCATGAGATGGGACAAGTACGCACCTGTCATGAGATGGAACAAGCACGTACCTCTCATGAGATGGGACAAGTACCTGTCATGAGATGGGACAAGTACCATTTATGAGATTGGACAAGTACCTGTCATGAGATGGGACAAGTACGCACCTGTCATGAGAAGGGACAAGTATGCACCTGTCATGAGAAGGGACAAGTACGCACCTGTCATGAGATGGGACAAGTACGTACCTGCCATGAGATGGGACAAGCACGTACCTGCCATGAGATGGGACAAGCACGTACCTGCCATGAGATGGGACAAGCACGTACCTGCCATGAGATGGGACAAGCACGTACCTGCCATGAGATGGGACAAGCACGTACCTGTCATGAGATGGGGCAGGTACCCACCTCTCATTGGGGGGGGGGGGGGGGTACACACCTGTACCAACTCCGATCTCGAGGATCTTGATGGCATTTTCTTTCCTGAGTTGCGGGTCGTGTGACACCTCCGACCCCAGCGTGGCGAACACGTCTTTCTTCATCTCCAGCACCTTGGTATCCACACCCTGGCTGAAGTAGTTCATGAACGCTGCAAAGTACCTGTGGACAGGGAAGAAGTGGTGGATGGTGGTACAGCAAGAGCATAGGAAGGGAGGGATGAAAAAAGAGGAGAGAGAGAACGTCCTCACTTCACCCAAATATACTACTTTCATAATGTTCCTTTGTCTTATTTGGACAGTTGCACACAATCTTTATCCTCTCGTTCTGGTCCCTCCGACGTCAAGGAGTACTGTGTGGGGAGGGAATGAGTTTCTGGAATGTGATCACTTATACAAGTAATCAAGAATTCATGGACTTTTAGAAGTATTTTGATAAAGAATTCTCCTCAGCAGTGTGTTGGTGGTGTCAACAAAAGTTGTTGCAATGGTTACAACTTATCCTATATGGGACAGACTGGCAAACCTTCGAACAAATGTTTGCAAGGTCTGAGCATCAGCTGATAGGCTCGCCACTTAACATTCATTTGTCTAGTACAATTGGTCCCTGACCAATGAGATCCATCATAAATACTTCTGAAATCTTAGAGTCAGTCTCCACCCCCTCACTTTCCTTACAATGAAGCTTTCTCTAATGCTCTTGTGACTTCTTTCAGAATTCAACTTGAAGATTAAGACACTTATGCAACATTTGTTGCATAGGTGTCTTAATCTTCAACATGTCGGTTTTCAAAACCATTTATCACAGAATTTAACTTCCTTCATTCTCATCCTTGTTGTATCCATTATCCTATACTTGTTCACACTGAGTATTTTTGTGTCATAATTTTTCTGTCTGGGTCTTGAGTTATATCCTTCAGCTTTTCCTCGTAGTTCTTTCCCCACAACTTCGGAAACAACTGGATGATAAACCTTTGAAGCTATTTCTGTTATTTATAAGTTCCATACTGGCACTGTGTGTCAGTATGGAACTTGTGTGTAGCATTCTGAATGGCGTCTTGTTCAAATTCTTACTTGTAGTATTTGAGCGTCACCTCTCAATTGGTATTATGGCCTTTCTCCGAATTTTATCTTTTTTTTTTTTTACTTGTTGGAACTGATCATCGGCATTCACACACTGGAACATTACTTTAGTCTCTCCAGGTTTCTTCCCCTCAAGGAAGGTTCCTTGATATTGGTGAGGGGCTCTTGATTTAGGGAATTGGATCTATGCTCCAGTTCCCCGAATTAAGCCTGAATGCCTTCCACATCCCCCCCAGGCGCTGTATAATCTTCCGGGTTTAGCGCTTCCCCTTGATTATAATGATAATAATAATCCAGGTTTCTTTCAGTCTTCTGATGTCCTCAGCTGATTTATCCTCATCAGTTGTGCATTATCTGTATATTTTGTAAGAATCAATTCCCTCTGGTAGGTCATTCACATACAAGAGAGAGCTTTGGGTCATATTCATCATTCCTCCCTTAATGTGAGTTTTTGTTTCTTCAGTTACTATTTTTATCCACTTAAATATCTTATCACCGAGGCCCACATCTTCTTTCGGTCTTTTGTTACACAATGTAAAATGCCTTCTAGCAACCCAAACTTATGCAGTCTGTCCACCCTTCTCTCTCCTGTCTAGTTTCCATGGAGCTTCACCTCCCACTTGTGCTCACTCCAACACCTCTTCTCTTACTATCACCTGTTACTTTCTGTTCACTAGGTATTCCTGCATTACTTGAGTATCATCCCTTCTACCTTCCATTTGTGTGTGTGTGTGTGTGTGTGTGTGTGTGTGTGTGTGTGTGTGTGTGTGTGTGTGTGTGTGTGTGTGTGTGTGTGTGTGTGTGTGTGTGTGTGCGTGCGTGCGTGCGTGCGTGCGTGCGTGCGTGCGTGCGTGCGTGCGTGCGTGCGTGCGTGCGTGCGTGTGCTTGCTCACCTAATTGTGTCTCAGTCCTGCCTCTCCGCTGGCCTGTGTTCACTCCTTCCTGACTGGGTAAGTTCTATAATATCCACTCTTTAACCCTAGTAGTCAGAAAGCGATTGAGGCGGGATCCACACATAATTCTAAGAGTAGATATTATAGGAGAACCTACTACAGTACTCCTATTGTGGAAAATTAAATTTACCTGGATGTAACTCAGAAGATACATACTAGTAAATAGTAACAAAGATAATTATTCTTTATCAAGGTTACAGAGACAAGTAGGAATTTTAGGACACCAGGTCGCAAAAAAATGTCCTTCGATACCTACGATAATCTCTCTCTCCACAAGTCACTCTGGACCTATATTAATTTCAAATGAAATATACATCACCAGGAATTCTGGTAAAAACATTAATGTAAATATGTGGACTGTATATTAAATTTAAAATGTGAATACATATACACTGAAGGAGAATTTATAATAATAAGACTCACCAATTAGTCTGGAGATTACGGTGTGTCATACAAACCCCCTTGCCTAAATTTATGAAGAAAATACTGGCCAGAATTTCAACACAAAATAGACATGACTTAGCTGGGGTTCCAAAGCTGTCCTGTCCATTCGCCTAATGCTCACATTATGCAGGACTGCAAATCCAACAATTTCGGCTCCTATTTGAGAGGTTTTAAGCCCAACATAACCCCTAGAGCGACGAAAATTTATGCACATTTCATTAGCGTTCCTTTACCCCATTCAAAACAATGGCCTCTCCCCCCCAGCAATGCTCACCCATCGCTGGTTCTTTATTTACAAATTATTTTTTATTACCTACAATATAGGCCATCGATTTACATATAAAATACACTATTTTTGGAGAATATACAGTATTTTCCACACCTATAATATCTACTCTTAAAATTATGTATGGATCCAGCCTCTATCACTTCCTGAGCACTAGGGTTAAAGAAGTATTTCCCAACATTCCCGTAACTAATTTTTTTTTTAACTTCCTACTGTGCCCTAGTGTACCTGAAACAGCTCCCTAATACAGGCTCGCCTTGTTAATTCCTCTCAGTATTTTGTACGTCGTAATCATGACAACTTTGACCTTTCTATCCTCTAATGTCATTAGGCTTTAGCTCTTCTAGCCTCTCATAGTTCATACTGCTCAGGTGTGGGGCTAGCCTCGTACAAACCTCTGCACTTTCTCCAGCTTCTTTACATGGTTTATCAGATGTGGGTTCCATACTGGCGCTGCATACTCCTAGATTGACTTGACATATGCCGTGTATAAGGTCGTGCATGCTTTTTTGTTGAGGTTCCTGGAAGTTACTCTTAAATTTCTTAGTCTTGCGTTTACTGCAGCTGTTATTCGGTGGATGTATGCCTCTGGCGAAATACTTGAGACCATGTCCATTGATAGGCCCTTCTCTTTTAGGGAGGTTTGCAGCTTTTGTCACCCAAAGCTGTATTCTGCTTCTGGTCGTCTTTGTCCTTCCCGATTTTCATAACTGTATTTACTGGGGTTAAATTTGAACAGCAACTTGTCAGACGTATCCTGCAGCTTGTCCAGATTCATTTGTAGTCTTTATTGGTCTGCCCGTTTTTATTCTTCTCATTAGTTTCGCATCATCTGCGAACAGGGACACCTCTGACTCGATCTCCTCTGGTATGTCATTTGCATTCACCAGAAACAGTACTGGTTCAGGTAATGACACTTGCGGAACCCCACTCGTCACACTTTCCCATTCCGACACCTCCTCCCGGACAATAACTTGTTGTTCCCTACCTGTTAGCTATTCTTTGAATCATCGCAGTGTTTTTCCTGCCTCCTCCTCTAGCTTTTGGCCTAGTCTCTTATGGAATACTGTATCAAATACCTTCCTACGGTCAAAAAATATGCATTCCACTCATCCCTCTCTTTCCTGCCTAAAATTTGTACCTTGTCGTGGAACTGTAGCACATTTGTGAGAAATAATTTACCATCTCGAAAACCATGTTGGTCGTTGTTTATGAATCTGCTCCTTACCAGGTGCTCCACTAATCTCCTGATAATGTTATCTACGTAAATACAGGCTCTGGGGGCTAATGGGAGTTAAAGCCCCCATGCAAATATTTTATATATTTTTAATTAATGATTGATTTTCACTGTATTACATTGAATAATGACTATGAAAACACGATAACTGACGAAATTTTACATATATATTGAAAATTATGTTAAAAAAAAATTTCTTCGAATTTTTTTCAGCTTATTTTTTTTAGCTCCCGCCCTCCCGCTAAGTTTAAAATAAAAAATGCACTTTTGCTGAAAGTGAACACTAAATGGATTCACCAAGAGACTGGCACTCAATGATCCATTCACTTTGCCCAACACTGGACACTAACCTCCTTCGGAAGTCGGACCAGTATTTCTTCAGTATCCAAATCACCACCACCGCACACACGACCGTCACTAACCAACTCATTATTCACTTCTTGGGTTTTCTTTTTTTGTCGACGTCTATACGTTAAGAGTAGAGTTCTGAAGCGATAGATAGCACTTTCAGGAGTGTTTCACAGTACTCTCCAAGCTGTCGGTGACTGCTGAGCTACACTTGATCAGTGATAAGTGGTAGAATACTGAAGACAAAGTGTCTCAGCTACTGCCCCAAGCAACACTGAGGAGGGTGGCGCCCGTCGACTCTAGTCTGTGGGTGGATGAACACTGACTCTGCCCACCCCCCACCAACCCACCCAGCAAATCATACTACCAACACATAAGGTTGCCGTTTACCTCCTCTGTACCTTCAACTTAATTTGAAACAAACTTTTATTATCATCGCTACGTACACTGAAATGTGCAGATGTCTTTAATTGTTACATCAGGGGCGAGAGAAGTTAACTCTTCTTACCCACAATATAGTGAGTAATGAGTGATAACTTCAGAGAATGAGACACGATTTCACCTCTCTGTACATTATTGTGAATTTTACTAACTTTTATTTAACTTTGTACTCACAAATCAGTCTTATACAAAACAACAAATTGAAGAAGGGGAATTTGAATATTCCACTCAATTACAATTTATTAATACCTAATTATTTATGATCATAATATACTTGATTAAAAAGAAAAGGATCTGATACTAAGATAACTGGGAAAATACAAGATACTTATAATATGGGAATGCGATTAGCTGACGAAAAAGAATTTTCACTTACAGTACAAAATTCTTGAAAGATTACTCCTAGAAGATCAACCAAACTACGTACTACCACCAGGTCCCGTGACCTCACGCACAGCTTTGGTTATCTTCCCGACAGTTTGGCCACCGAATCCTCAGATAGAGCTCCAGCTCTATCTCTTAGCCACTTTCCCTGACCTTATCAAGACCTCCACAGTACCCATAACTTCTGCCCAGAGGTCAGCTCTCATGGGGAATTCAATATGTGTTCTCCAAAGAAGTTAGAGTCCCCCTGGAAGAACTAGGGTGTGGGGATTAGTAGCTATGAGTCATATTTAAGCAAAAAGATAGATACAATAGACCCAGTTTCAGGATATCACATCAGTAGTTAACAGCAGCTGGCGAGATTTTCTTATACACCGCTTAGGCTACGACTGACAGTGCTGGAGTTCCCTAACATGTTCTTAGAATTTTTCTACAGGATGCGAGTCACAACACTTAGGTACAGCACTGAACAATACTTATACTGCTAGGCAGGAGGCGCTGCAGGAGTGTTAGGAAAACCCATCCCAGGAAAACCCAGCCTATACACTACGTTGAACAAGTATGTTTTACGTCCTCATGCATACAGTGAGATGTTCATGACCGCACTGAACAGGTGTTCATGCCCACACTCAACAGGTGTTCATGCCTACAATGAACAGGTGTTCATGCCCACACTCAACAGGTGTTCATGACCACAATGAACAGGTGTTCATGACCCCACTCAATAGGTGTTCATGACCACACTCAATAGGTGTTCATGACCACACTCAACAGGTGTTCATGCCCACACTCAACAGGTGTTCATGACCACACTCAACAGGTGTTCATGCCCACACTCAACAGGTGGGTGTTCATGACCACACTCAACAGGTGTTCATGCCCACACTCAACAGGTGTTCATGCCCACAATGAACAGGTGTTCATGCCCACAATGAACAGGTGTTCATGACCCCACTCAACAGGTGTTCATGACCACACTCAATAGGTGTTCATGACCACACTCGGAAGGTGTTCATGCCCACAATTAATAGGTGTTCATGACCACACTCAATAGGTGTTCATGACCACAATGAACAGGTGTTCATGACCACACTCAACAGGTATTCATGACCACACTCAATAGGTGTTCATGACCACAATGAACAGGTGTTCATGACCACAATGAACAGGTGTTCATGACCACACTCAACAAGTGTTCATGCCCACAATGAACAGGTGTTCATGACCACACTCAATAGGTGTTCATGACCACACTCAACAGGTATTCATGACCCCACTCAACAGGTGTTCATGACCACACTCAATAGGTGTTCATGACCACAATGAACAGGTGTTCATGACCACACTCAACAGGTGTTCATGACCCCACTCAATAGGTGTTCATGACCACGCTCAATAGGTGTTCATGACCACACTCAACAGGTGCTCATGACCACACTCAACAGGTGTTCATGCCCGCACTCAACAGGTGTTCATGACCACACTCAACAGGTGTTCATGCCCACACTCAACAGGTGTTCATGCCCACAATGAACAGGTGTTCATGACCACACTCAACAGGTGTTCATGACCACACTCAACAGGTGTTCATGCCCACACTCAACAGGTGTTCCTTAATTCAGATCAGGTTAGCCAACACTATGTCCAACTACAAACAATCTGACTTTTTTTCCTTCCCACAACCGGCTTTTCTTACTTTAATTTTTTCTTTACCTGTGATTTTATTACCTAGATTCGATCGAAATATGGTAGAGAGCAACCTTTATTACAAAGTTTCGCTACAGCAAAGCGTTCTCCTCCAACCATGATCTAGAAGTAATATTCAGCAGTCTGTTCATTAGCACTTCCACAGTGCTCGTCAAGTTGAAATTGGTAGCAAATTCTATGACATCTAATTCTAAACAAGATCATATGGATGCCTGCTGCATTATATTTCCTCCTATCAACTTACCAAGTTAATAGGCTACTTAGGTTAGTACTTGGATGGGTGACCGCCTGGGAACACCAAATGCTGTTATTGACCTCATCGCTCTAGGGCCGTGAGGTTGTGCTGCGCCTTGCTCCTGCATTCGTCACTCAGCCTTGGTGGAGGACGGACGTTGGCAGTTGAGCTAGCACCTGTTGGTAGCACTGAGTGATTTTCACAAGATGGCGCAGGCTATCAGGCGGAGAATCAACACTGTGTGTATTGAGGTGTTGAAAGGAGCAGTATATCAAACCAATGCCTCTGTTATGCTGCCTGCTATACTACGGGATACCTACTGCATCAGCAAAGACGATCTGTATGGTATTGCCTTAAATGGAGCAACAAGGATATTTGTGAAATTTGTGACGGCTGCGACTTATGACAAGATGGTGGAAAAATACCAAGACGTGTGTATGACGGTTAATCCTGGTCTGAAGTACGCATGAGGGACGTATCCAAGTATTATACTTGGGTAAAGTTACGGAATGTCCATTTGAAGCGGATGAAGAAGATATAAAAGAAAACATTCAACGAGTATGGTGTTATACATCAGGCAACAGTTGGAAGGTGGTCTGATAATATGTATGGTGGACTGCGTGAGGGCTCCTTTACCCTCAAAATGTCTTTGCGCAAATCTATACCATCATATGTGACTCTGAGTGACTTTAGAATACAGGTATATGTAACATATGCGGGGCAAAGACGAACCTGTAGACTATGTGGAGCCTTTGATCATATAGCAGCAATGTGTCCTCGTCGATCAACACCTGAGAAAAAGGGAGAGGGAAAAGGTGTGTGGAAGGAGAGGGGAGGTGACGACCCAGTCTAAGGGGAGCATCTTCAAGATCAGAGAACATGGAGTGAAATCGTGGAAGACAATCCGGAAGAATGTGTAACATTACCGGAGGTGTCTCGGGTTTTATTGAGAATATGCGTTTGGAGGATGAGGTGAGAAGAGAGGATTTGGGTAGTCAGGTTACGGCTACTATAGATAATGTTATTCAAGAATTCTTAGGTAATCAGAATGAGGGCGAGACACTAAGCATGGTGTCAGAAGGGAAACTTATAGGTGGGGAAAGGGAATTGAAGAGGTGAGTAATGGGGTGTTGGGGATAAGCAATTAAACAGGATTAGTGGGGTTGTGGTTGAAGTACACAACGTAGATTGTGGAGATGAGGGAATGCACATAGTAAGAGGCATCACGTAAGAGAGAGGCAGGGGCTTCTGATAGTGATGATGTCCTCACACCAGCGCAACGAACTGGTAAGAAACTATCAGTGGATGTTAAAAAAAAAATAACAGGGGGGGGAGGAAAGGGGCAGAGGAAAGGTGAGGCAAAAAATGGACAATGCGATCAGAATGTTCAGCAAAAACGTAAGGAAAGGCAAGGATATCGGTCGATTGGTAAGCCCCCGATAGCATTTTTAAGTGTCTAACCTTAAATGTTAACGGCCTAAGGGCTGATGTAAAGCGTAAGATATTTAGTGTTTTTTTAAAGAGACTTGGCATACAAGTAGTATTTTTACAAGAGCATAATTTCAGGTATGGAAGGGATTTGTCGGTAGATGGATATAAAGTTTATGCTGGGTATACTGGGAAGCTTAAGGGAGGTGCTGCAGTTTTAATAGCTGAGACCAGTCCGTTCCAATTGTTACATTGGGAAGAAGGGGGAGATGGGAGAGTAGCGAGGGTGGATGGGACATGGGGTGGGGTACGTGTGTGTTTTTTGAGTGTATACATGCCGGCGGACAGTAATAGACGTGTTAAAGAGGAATTTGTAAGGGACACACTAATTTATCATATGCGGGGTTTACCTGTTTATTCATTATTTGGAGGGGATTGGAATAGTGTGATACGTAGAAAAGATGTGGAGCCGAGGGATGCAGGGTGTGTTCTGGGGGTTCTACGAGATGTTTTAGGGGGAGTTGGCTTAACGGATGTTGTGAGGGGGGAGGGGTGGAACGTGGAGCATACATATGTGAGGAGAGGATACGCGGCACGACTAGATCGTATTTATGCTTCTCCCGGGTTACAGGTGGCTACTACAGAAACTATAAATGTAGTGTTTTCAGATCATAGAGGAGTGGTCGTGGATGTGGGATGGGGAGGTTTACCAAAGCGTTACATGAGTTATTGGAAACTTAATGTGAGATTGTTAGACGAGCAGGAAGACGGTGATAGTTTTGTTGAGTGGTGGACAAAGGAGTGGAACAAGGGGAGAAAAGGAGGTGATATCCTACGATGGTGGGAGGAATATGCCAAACCAGGAATCAAAAATTTTTATATGAGGAAGGAAAGGAAAGGTAAGTCAATGGAAATATGGCTTACAGAGATATTTGGAAGGGCTGCTGAAACAGTGCTATGAAGGTTTTAGTGGGGTTTATCCAGTACAAGAGATTGAGGGCATCAAAGCGCAATTAATGGAAATGCAGAATGCAAGATTTGATGGTGAGAGAATGAGAGGTGGATTGGAAGATGTTTTATGGGGAGATAAGCCATCTGCCTGTGTTTTGCGGCGATTTAAAGACGCGACAG